GAGATGGCCGTCTGCAACACACACAGGGGGTTGTGCAGCCTGATGTGTGCAACCCACTCGAAACGGGAAACCACCACCGCTGAAGCGCCGTACCACCAGCACGAGAGCCCACGAAGAGCGTGCTTGACTGTAGCTTTACTCTTGGCAGAAGGTCAGGAGCAGAACGATAGAAACGCTCGGCTCCGAAGCGAAAAGCTGAATATGCGCTGCATCTGCTGCCTACTTATACTCACGCTGTGATCAGTGGCAGCTGGATGCAATAATCGCATGCCAATGTGCATTGGCTCGTTTAGTTTACACTCGAAGTAGATTGGTCTCTCTAAGCGAGATCCCAATTCATCGGTCATCCGACGTGACGTCGAGAGTGACCGACTGAAAGGGAACTGAAAATATTATGAAAACCATAATGAACGCTTGGCAGATTTTCTTTTGGAGAATGACTGTGTATAGTGACCACATTAAGTAATTAACCACATTAAGTGATATATATATATATACCTCATGGCAGCTCTCGGATTATATTATGAATCAGTGATATTTAGTATCAATGGCAACATGGTGCAGAGCTTTTTTTGATTCACGAATAATGTTTCAGAACTTCTGTGGAATTCAAGATTTTCAGTGAATAATGACTTGAAACATTCAAATGATGATGGAGGCCAAGTATTTTTGGCAAGCGTGGCCTCTATGTCGCTTTTGACAGGGTAGTTTGTAAATGGTGAGGAACATTTTGTGATACTTCAGATCCATCATCATCTGATGGAGAGTAGACTATGATCAGAGGGTGTAGAGGAGAGGTCGAGGGATATGAGGGGAGAGAAAAGGACGTGACAGAGGGTTTGGGACATCTCTGGAGGCCAATAACGGACACACAGATTGATGCTGGGCTGTTGAATGATGTGGCAATCATCATCTATGTGGCAGAGGTGACCCTGCTATTGCATTAGGAGGCCATGCGATAGTCATTTGACAACTTATGAGTAACCCATATTTTACGGACAAATGTTGAAAGTGGCAACAGCAGCACAGGGACATGACCGTAAGCAGTCACTCCGACTCAAACTGACTGCTACCTCTATGCTGGATAGAATATCCATAGGAACTTTATAGAAGAGCTGATGCACAATACTTAATGACACCTGATAAGATTTAAATGGCAGCTGGCAAATATCTAGATAAGAATCATACTAGTAATTGTATGACCCACCATGGCAACATATGCAAAAAGTGAATTAAAACACCTAAAATTATAAATGAAAGTGAAGTGAAAGTGATGTGACGTGTGCAAGTATGGTGTCCCATACACAGAATTTGTGCTCTGCATTTAACCAATCCAAGTGCACACACACAGCAGTGAGTAGTGAACACACAAATTTTAAGTTACATTATGCATTATATTACATATTCATTTAAAACAAAGATTTTCAAATCAGCTCAATTCTGTATCATATTGTAGAAGAAATCATTGACTTCATATAAAAATCTCACAAAATTTAAAGCCACAGACAGACAGACAGACAGACAGACAGACAGTAGCTAAAAAGTAACTAAGGCCAATGAAGCTTAACAGGACCAGGACAGTATCTTTGTAAATAAATCATATCACCTGATAGTCTACAATAAAAGTATTTACACAAAAACATTGAGCATTTCAATTATGATGACTAAACCTGAACATATACATTTACACAAAATATAAGTAATAAAAAATTGTGAAAAGACAATCATTTTTATAAAATATACAATTTAAAAAAAGAAAAACAAAAATGTGACCTGCTAATCCTGATTAAAAATGAATGAAAAGAGCAGAAAATAACTAACATTTACAAGAAATTCTAGATGGTAAAGCATTATATAAAATGTGAACCTTTGAAAGGCCTATTGACAGAGACATGTAAAAGGCATCTAACAGACCCTTACAAGACAGAAGAGAGAAAAAGAGAAGAAATATATACTCTGTGAAGCTGAGCAGAGACTGTGATGTTCAGTTCTGATCATCTGTTATGAAGTTATAGAAAACCTACTGTTATATGTGTATATAATGTTATATGTGTGTGTGTGTGTGTGTGTGTGTTACCATTAAAACTAATTATTATTATT